GAGGGTGACTTTGTCAAAACAGAACTCATTTTCAGTTACTTTCTTTGAGAAAAATATATGTTGACATACAAGTCATTTCTGGAGTTGGCTGTAGTCTAAGATTCTTGTCCCAGTTGGGCTCTAGCACACAGTGTTCCTGAGGAAGGAAAACGTATCTTATGTCGTCTAGGGAACAGTGTATAATGAGGAACTTGGGTAATTTATCAGACTTATTCTCTTGGTTCTCTATCCATGAAAGGGAGCTCGTTTGCAACATTTTCAAAAATAGTCTTAAAAAACAAAGTACATATAGTTGACAGATATGTATTTACAAAGTTGTACTGTAAATGCCTGGCAGTACACTTCTACTGAATTTTACGACATATCTCACACGGGAAGACCCTCCTCCTAAATTGAGTTTTGCATTCCTTATTACTATGGTCAAAACCCAACAATTCTAGATAGCTGACTTTTTTTTTCATCTCCATGGGAGAGACTATAACAAGAGCTCACTGATGAGAACTTTTTTATGTAATTAGAGCAAAAACATGATGGACGTTCTCTCAGTACATGTTGATTAAAATCTTTGAAACTAAAAATGTTAACTGGTTAGTTTCTAAAGGGCTCTCTTACTTGTTCACAGGTAAACAATACCATACCATTTGTTTGTATCATGTAAGGTTATGTCTCATGAGATAGATATGGATGTTGATAGCTTCTTTACAACCCTCTGGATAAAAGTATCCAAAGATACTTGCATTTGAGCTATCTTCTTTTTAGCATAAGATAAATGTATTCCAAAATGCTGCTTCATTAGTGCAGAGTTACAGACCCTGATGGGCCCAGAAGTTGTGGAACAAATGTTTTATTAGCACAGATTACCTTATATAGTCCCAGGAATATATATATTCCCAGGAGTGAAGTTAAAGCCTGAAGAGATTTTGGGGATTCATCAGCATATAAGAGGCATTTAAAGCTATGAGATGAGATTGATTCATTTATTCATTCAAGAAAAAATTGAGTTCTTGCTATCTGTCAGGCGCTATGAATCACTGGGGATTCAATAGTGAACGAAAGTAATAAATACCCACCCTCAGCCTGTTGAGAGGCAGCAGACTAATAAAGTGGTGATATATATAGTGTATTAAATGGTGGTGAGTGCTATGGAGAGAAAGAAAGGAAGAAGGGGAAGAGAGAAGGTGTATGTGGGGGTACAGTTTTCAATGGGATATAGACAGTGGAGACCTCACCAAGGTGACATGTGAGTAAAAACCTGAAGCTGAGAGCAAGCCACGCAGGCATCTGGGGAAAGCGCCTACTGAGCAAGGGAAATAGTAGGTCAAAGCCTGTGAGGTGAGAGCATGCCTGATATATCGAGGGAAGCCAGTATAGCTAACACAGAGGTGGTGGGGCTTTGCAGGCCAGTGTAAGGACTTTGGGTTTTACTTTGAGGGAAATGGGAAGCTACTGGAAGGATCTGAGCAAAGGAGGGCCATGACTTAACCTTTGTTTTAATATGGGTTCACCGAGACAGAATTAGGGAAACTTGACATTAGGAATAGCAAATGTACTCTCCTGACGTTTTCCTTTATTTAATAAGATTTCTCTTTTTAGGACAAAATTCTGCCCAACCTGTCTTCTATGTTTGCCTTACTGCTAACTGACAGAAATTGGCTACTAGAACAACATACCTTGGAGGCGTTTACTCAGTTTGCTGAGGTAAATTATGAGACCCATCTATCATGACCTCCAAAACATTTTAACATTTCAGATATTCCAGAACATTCCAAAAACATTTACTGAGTTGCTTTTGTATCTTAGTCGTAAAATTTTCTGCTAGAGGAGATATTACTAATCATCTATGTTACAGGCTTTAAAATAAAAATGAGGCATAGAGAAATGAAGTGTGGGTTGTAACAATCAGAACAAGCATTCAAACCGGGTCTAGTGACGCAGGCACTGTCTTCCAGATGGTGTTTTTGGGTTGAACGATAATACATTTCATCTCAAACTATCATAGGGGTTAGTTAGGTTGACAAACACAGGCCTGTTAGTTTGGTTCTATGGAGAAGGCAGTGCTGGCATGGGTTGCTCCTTTACTCCTGTCCGTCGCTGTGCAGTCATGCCTTTGGTCATAAGGGGCCCAGAGACATTAGGATGACTGAGCAGAAGTAATTAAAGCTTACAACTCTATACTTACGCAAGTTAATACTGTATTATCCTAAGGCACCCTGAAAGAACTATGAGCTTACCTTCTTTTGAGTATCCTCTGGCACTGTTTTCTTTTGAAATGCATTTTTGATTAAGGTAGCTCTTAAAACTCATGTATTTGTCTTTGCAAGTTGTTGAAATATTAAAATTGGTCTTGTTTCTCAATCTTTTAATAGGGAACAAATCATGAAGAGATAGTTCCACAATGTCTCAGTTCTGAAGAAACTAAGAACAAAGTTGTATCCTTTCTGGAGAAGGTATTTTATTTATATAGAATCAAAGTCGTAGTGTCACTTACTTTTTGAAATTGTTTTATTGTAACCAAGCTGAATATCTTCTTAGCTTAAATTTTTCACAGTGCTCAGCACAGTGGTGACACATTGTTGTCACTCTGCCTGTAGTTGGTGATACCATAGCATTGATAGCTCAGGCAGGGAGATAACTGACAAGGATCCCTAAACTGTTACTAATCGTAATTGGACACACATGAAGAACAGCAGGCCTGAGGGGCTCATGCTCATTACTGTAACTTAGATATGATTTAGGCAAGGCTTTTGTGCACTGACAGAGACCAAGACCTACTTTTCCAAACTGTGACATTTTTAAAGCTGCTATTACAGTTAAACCAACCTGTTGAATCATATGGCTCCCACATTTGTGAGTGTTATGATGTAAGTTAAGGGTTAATTGAAGCACTAACAGAACAGTTAAACTGCAAATTTAGAACACCAGGAGAAGGTGAATTATGCTTCATTTGTTTTTTATAATATGCCCATTAAATTGGGCTATGTGTATTTTATCTTATATGTTATATATTTGGATTTGAGTATGTGTGTGTACATGTTGCTTTCCCCAATTTCTCACCCTTTACACTACAGGTTAGCAGACTATCATTTTTTCCTGGAAAGAAGACACTACAGCTTTTCTGTAGGGAAGGAGAACACTGAAATTTCATCTAAATTACACTAAGAGGATACATTTACAGATGAGTCCCACTTCCAAAATTTGCCTAGTTCACAGGCTAAGCCAGAAGAGTTGAACACTCAGCACTTAACACACACACACACACTGGCCTTTTCATCTTCTGACTACTAGTAGAGTGCTTAACATGTTGATGTTTACTTGGTTTTTCATGCTCTCTGGCAGACTGGGTTTGTAGATGAAACTGCAGCTGCCAGAGTGGAGCGTGTGAAAAAGGAAAAAGGTATTTTCTGGGAACCCTTTGCTAAAGTGACTGTAGAAGAAGCAAAGTGGTCATCTTCACAGGTATGCACTGCTTTTCAGTATGGGTCAAGCTTTAATGAGAGAAATTCTGGCCATATTACTGATAAAAGGAAAACAGAAATGAGTATGGTTCTTGGCCTCACTAAATATCAAAGTAACCAAATAGATCTAGACATGTAAAATTCTCCTGCTTTATGGTAGGTGCTCTTTTAAAAATCACATTTCTTCTTCCTGAAAGGTTATCAACACATAGAACAGAGGTGGGACTACAAAAAAATAAAGTTTTAAACATCATACTAAATATACTCTTTCAATATAATTTTCAATTATTTGTAGTAACCTTTGGAAGAGTTATGTATTTGTACCGGTAATGCTACAAATGCAGGAGTTTCTGAACCACAGAAGGAAACTAATGAACTTACCTTCCAAAATGTTTAGTTGGATTTCTTGCCTCATTTATCAAACCAGCCTAATAATTTTTGGCAGTGTGTAGAAATCATATCTGCCTATTAAAAGGCAGAAATAGGACACAACTAAGGATATTCAAAATATTGTTTTGAGCACTGATAGTGTATTTGGAATAGTAATCCGTAAGAGGAACAATGTTCTGGTAAGCTTTAGTTACAACTCTTGTAAAAAGAAAAGAAGTTTAAGTATCTGTTAATAACTTGTTTTCAAGATATGTAACTTGTATGCCTGAAATATATAAAGTTAAATATATCCGTAGTGTAAACAAGCCCTTAAGAATTTATGACTTTCCTTAGAAGACAGTGATTATAAAGGATGTCTTGGCCCCAACCTTTCCTCCCCTCTCCTAGTACAGTGATGTTAGAAAGCTTGACAGTTTATTGAACTGGCTCCAAAAGCATCTGAAAGACCACAGCTCTTATTATAAACGTAGCATTAAAAATAAAACTGGAAGCATTTAGAAAATTCATACTGGGGGCTTTTCTGTAAGGACAGGTTATATGTCTAAGGAATACTCAATGGAAATGACTGGACAAGGCAGCACTTCTCATTTCCTTGGACAATAATGGTGCAGCACCTTGAATCACTGATAAACCAAAAATGCCTTCACATATGTTTTCAGATGATTGTGGGGGTGTGAACCAATGACAAGAATAAAATTTGCACATAAACCTTTTTTACAGTTTTAGAATTTGTTCTAATAAGCTTTACTCTAGTCCAGAAGGAAGTTCTTTTTTGGGGTAGGTATCACAGCATTACTGACATGTTTTTCTCCAGCCTTATGCAAAAAGAGCCCGTCACGAGCTCCCCCTGGAAGAAGAGTACAGGTCAGCAGTGCAGGCAGCAACGGGGGCCCTGGAGACAGTTGAGTTACTGCTCCAGAAGTCTCCTGCTCCAGACTGGCTTCTGATGAAAATGGAAACACTCCAGGAAAGGATTGATAAGCTGAAACGTCGTGTACTCGAGGGTGAAACTTGAATGGACTGGGCCATATTATCACTAAATAAAATTAGATATGATTTTTTGTCATCCTACAATATGTCTTTCTTGTAAATGAAAATATGATGTAATTATGTCTGTACCTTTTCTAACACATAAAACAACTTTTGTAAGTTGAATCTAGTGAAAATAGTCTTTATTGGACATTCAGAGAACAGGACTGTGGAGGATATTTCTCATTAAGAACTTTGGTACAACGTAATACATGTGGAACAGTGAGTAACTGCCCCGGTGCCCACAGGGCCACTCACTGGGACAGCACAACTGTCAAATAAATAAGCTGCCTAAGGAAAACTTACCATTTAAAATCATTTATATACTTTACAGCTAAAATTCTTTCAGTAGTTTGTATTTCATAATAGAGCCTACTCTTCTGTTAAAGAAATGGCACAAAATTAAGCTAATCAGCTTGAATTTTTGTATTTATTTTCTTTACTTCTGGAATTGTCCTAGAAAAAAGCAGTAAATTCAACCTTTCCACAGCTTGCTCTTCACAGAAGCTGGCCCTAGTCCAGTGCACTCAGGCTCTTCCTCTGAGAAGCAAGTCCTGGAGCGTCCGCATTGTGCGGGCTTTCAGCCAGCACTCGAGGGCTCATGCTGCAGTTGGCACAGACTGGAAAAAGAGCTCCTGGTATGGGAAAACAGGATGCGTTTAGGTTTTCTTGTCTGCAGAGCCCACTTGTGAGGTATTAGTTTGATTTGTTTTAAAGGAATCCTTTTCCCTAAAGTTTAACTCATACCCGTCGTCACCAGTTATCATCTTCCCAGTTCAGCTCCCCGGCTTCTCCCCAGCCTTCAGACTCTCCCTGCAACGAGATAAAGCAAACCAAGGGTAACCGCCGAAACAAAGCATATCCAAATTGAAAGATCAGGAATTCAAAAGGGGCCTAACACTTATCTTTTGATGCCACAATACATTTCCTTGTGCTAAGTAAAATAACTTACTATAACAGGAAGCTGAAAAGTAGGATTACTTTGGTTCCAGTATTACAAAACCACAGCATTGGAAATAACTTTCCAAGGACAATATAATCCAATAAAATCAGTCTGTGACAACATATTCTTGGTTTAATCCCTTTTCCAAATAAAAAGGTTATTATTGTAACAAGTGGCCCAGGAAACCCCAGGCATTGCTATACTTTTCTGGGGAAGAAGAGATATTTATAAGAACTGATTTGACACTTCACTTGATCATTTTAACCAATGGTGCACACTGGTCTTTTCCCTCACTGGGAAAACAGCAAGGTGTTTGTTATAAATGGGACAGTACAACTGGCACCTATGAGGGAAATCCTTAAACTGGTAGCACAATAATCCTCACCTCAGTAATTTCTGCTGCAGCAAATTTTGAGGAAAACTGCATCATTGGTGAGACATCATCCTTGTTAGGAACCATCATGTCTGTCCTCAGTTCAGGTAACAGAAGAAGAGCAGCTGAAGGCTTAATTTCTGGGATCATATCAGCAAACCAGTCCAACTCAGGATCCTTTACTGGCTTCTTTTTTACTTGAATGGTAAACTCCTCTCCTAAACCAAGTTCTGATGGAAGCTTAAGGTGCCTTTCTTGTGACAACACTTTTAGTGGCTTGGTTTGGTCTGGGTCATCCCCACTTTGTGCAAGAATGGTTTTTTGGGGTAGGCTTGATTTCAAAGGCTTGGACTCTTCAGTGAGTGGAAGCAAAGCAGGAATGGCCTTTTGCTCCCCTGAGGTAACAGGTCTTGCAGCAGTAATTCCACCTCCTGGGTTTAGTTCAGAATCTAAGCTGCTGGGCTCAAAGTCATCCCAAGTCTCCTCCTCCACATTCAGGTTAGAGGGTGGGGACTTGGCAGCATCATAGGGGGTTGTAGGACAAATCTGGATGTTGACAGTTTTGTTTTCAGGCTCCTCAGGCTCACTCCAGTCAGGCCAGTCCTCAGACTTTTTAGAACTTGACGGGAAGTTTTCACCGTCTCCTGAGGTATTTTTCACATCTGAGATTCCATTCATGGGAAATTTAATAGGCTGAGAAAATTGATCACCTGTGGGGATATATACAAGAATTATTCTCATAAATTGTTGGTTAAGAGCAAGCAATATATTTAGGAGAGGTTAACACTAAAGAAACGTATAGAAATTATTTCTTGGAAATGTCCATCTACACTAAACTACAAAAGAGAAATCCCAACGGAACATAACTCAAAAAATGTGATGTAAGTTATCCAAATACTTAGATTGTAATTTGATGGAAGCATACCAAGCAACAGCTAACTGGAGTATGGCGTCCTTTACTAAATATTCAAACATATTAGCATAATTATCTGTAAACAAATATAGAAATGTTCTAAGCCAGGCAGTGTTACCCTTGAGATGTTAATTATGTATACCCTGAAGAAGGGTGTATGCACGCAAATAAGTTTGCCCAACCCAACATGTCCTCATTGTAAACAGATTTCCTCAAGTGCAGTCAAGGCACCAAAGTCCTGCGCAATGCAGTGACTCTGCTACTAACATTCCCCCAAACTTATTTAACCACAGAACTTTTTTCATGGCACACCTATTAACATCTTCCAGAACTGTCATTCTTTGATAAAATTTGGAAAATGCTGCATTAAGGCATCGAAAGTCTCAAAGGAAAGTATCAGGTGCAAAAAAGAATTCAAGTAATGTCAACCTGCTCTTCTTACCAGTTATGAAGAAAAGGCAGGGATATACCCTACAGTCCAGGGAAAGAAGGTGACTCCAGCTGCCCACATAAGAGAAATGAACCTCAATACTCCCAAAGTGCCCTTAATTTTCAGAAGTTAAACTTATTACTCAGGAAAACATTCATCCAAGCAGTGGGAAAACTATATAAATTTAATATTTCCACCTGTCTGTAAAAGAATATTGTAGTAATCCCACTGTATGTGCTTCTTGCTGTTGATGGGCATGTTGCCAGAAAAGAAACATTTAGGGAATATGCTAGAGAAGGAGTTGTGCGAGACTGGTGAGATCTGACTGCTAGCTGCAGACGACATGCATGGGAGAATCGGAAGATGAGTAAAAACTCAAACAAATGAGAGGGGACAGTAGATTGCTGCTTCTTCTATCACGTGTTTGGTGGGAAGTGGAAATATTTAACGCAGATAAAAGGTCAAGTGACAGAGAGAGCATCTTCAAATATCTGAAGAAACATACCTGTTATGGAATGGACTGCCTGCCCTACAGGTGTTTAAGGACAGGCTGAGTGTCAGCACGGTGTGGAATTGGAAAGGATTCCAGCATTAGGTGGAGTTGCATTAGACCGATAGGTAACCCCTAGAATACCTAGTTATAACAGTTAACAGCCTTTAAAAACATTTTGGTGGTGATTTAAAACCGTAATTGATTCTACTTACTTTCCTTTTAAGAATAAAAGTCTAAGAGTACCCAGCACACCAATGTGAATGTACTCAATACCACAAAACTACACCTAAAAATGGTTAAATGGTAAATTTTATGTTATGGACATTTAACTTCCAACTGGAAGAAACTGTTTCAAGAAAACGTTGTCTTTAACAGTTTACCAGGAAGTTCATACTTAAGAGTGGCCACTGGTCAAAAGGATTCTAGCAAAATTTTGGCGGAATACTTCCTCTGCCTTAAAAAAGCAAGACGGAGGGGAAGGGCCGGAGTGAGTCATCACAAGAGGCCACATCCCCCTCTTTACCCCCCGCCCTCCAAGGCCTGACCTCTACAAGCCCTCCACCCTCCTGCTTACTTCTGCCACTATCCTCCCTGCTGAAGTCCTAATTTTCTTACTCAATGTCCCCTTCTCTAAATTGTCTTACCCAACTCGCTCTCACACAGACTTATTTATTATTTCCCTTAGGTACACTTTTCATAAACCTCAATATTAGCCGTTATTCTTAAGTCTGACCATGCAGCTAAACTGCAAAAGAACAGAAGGGGGAAAAAAGTCTACGAGTACCTCCTTTATACATGCCCCTTCCCCAGCAGTCCCCCACGTCCTTCAGAAGGGCCACTCTTAATTATAAACGGGGAATGCAGGCTACCACCAGGGCTCACAAGCCATCCTGGATGAAGAGCCTCCCTTGGTGAGTCAGTGGGACTAGACCTCTGATCTGTCTTCCTAGAAAGTCTTCAGGAAAATCTATTTTAATAAAAATTCATCTGCTACTGCTGCTTTGGTGCCTTTTTGGTTTCTTATTAGGATTACAGAGTAATCCAGGTGGATACTATATAAAATATCTAGAACTAGATTTCTCAACTCCATCCAATAAATAAAACAGATGTTAAGAGTGTGGACTTTTGCTAATTCAACAGGCAAAGCTGCCCCCAAAGACTGACCCCCAAGCCTTATCTCGAAACTATGCATACCCCCGCCTCCCCCCAAAATTCCTCTGGTACGAAATATAAATAAATCTCTCATTTGCTGCTTGCTGTACTCTGCTAAAAGGAATACTGATAACACACAGAACTCACTCAATTTGGTATGTGCATTTCATGGTTGAAGAGGTGGCAGCTTCTACATCACCCTATTCAAGCTCCTTGGAGCCACA